CTGATCTCCAACTGAGATGCCAAAGCCTCGGGGCGCAACTCGCGCAGCCGCGCCACCTGCAAGCAGCGGGTCGGTGGGGATGTCGGTAGGGCGCGGGTAGGGCCCTACCCGCGAGGCCCTCCAACAACCACAACACTTCCGCTGCCAACTATGGGAAAGGTACAATGCACACAGAACAAGCCCCGCGGCCCACCTGCGCATTGTAAGGCGTGATGACGCCGATGTCACGAGCCTGTATGCCCGCCGCCATGAGCCGCCGCACGTGCTCCATCACTGCCATGGCCTCGCCATCGTTCCACTGCGCACATTCAGCATTTGCAGTGAGCATGAATGTAACAGCTGGCTTTGGTGGGAACCCAGGTTGTCTCTGCCGCCCACCGGCCGCCGCCGCACCTTGCTATCGCCCTCCTCCTCTGCCTGCTCGTCCATGTCACAGCCGGCCGAGTCGATGAGCAACAATACCGGGAGCTCCCCCGCCTCAGCCCCGGACCCCGCCAGCTCTGCCATCGTGTGCCCTGCAACGGACACATGCGCCGACAAGCGGCCGCCGTACAACTCCTGCACGAACCACATCACAGTCGGCCTTTCACAAAGGTACCTCCTTGCGAGGCGAGGTGCCACAGAGCTCGTCTGGCCCGCCATAGCAGCAAAAGCAACGCAATGCTTGCCTTGCAACTTGCAACACACAATGCTGGCTTCCTTCCCGTCCCCGTTCCATGACCACAGCTGGCCCCTCTGGATAAGACCCACCCACCTGTGAGGACCAGTCCATGATGGAGCTGTTCATGCGGTACTGTACTGTCAGCATTTCGCTGGCTGCATCCCCCCACAGGTCCTGCACGGGCAGACGGGCGCGAGTAGATGTAGATAAGTGGACAGCCGGAGGCCAGCTTGAGCTGAGGTGGAGCAACAGGGATGCAAGTTACCTGTAGGCGCTCAAAGAGTGTCCTGCTCAGCCCGCTGCGGGCTGCCTTCTCGCTGATGACGGTAGGGGGCAGCTGCAAGCCATACAACCAAGGCAGGGTGCAACCGACATGAAAAGGCAAGGCATGGGCAAGCAAGGCAGGAGATCACTGATGAGCAGAGCGGCACACAACGGCGCATCAGCATGCCTGCAGGTGGTCGCCCGCCAGCACCGCCTTGCGCCCCTTGAGCAGCGCTGCCCAACACGCGGGCTCCAACGCCTGCACAGTCTCAGCAGCCAGGGAGTACCCAAGGAGCCAGCTAGAGAATCAATGAGGTGCCGACATTTGGGAAGACCTGAGCAGGCTCGGTGCCACGGCTGCTCCCACCTCACCTGAGCTGCTTCGTCGATGACCACCACGTCAAACTGCAGGCTGTCCAACTGGCGGATGCCCACGCCCGTCAGCGTGGTGCACACCACCTGCAATGCGGTGGGTGGGAAGGAGCGGGGAACAGGCTAGGGGACACACAGCTCAAGGTCAACGTGCGCTACAACATGTTGCGGTTGATCGTTCCGTATACGACGGTTCGCCCTACTACACCCGCCGAGGACCCCCGCTCAGCTTCCCCGTTGCTCAACCCCACGCACCTGCGCCTCACGGAGCACCTCTTCCACCGCCTTCTCCTGCCGCTTGCGCTCCTCCTTGGCCAGCTGGCGCAGCTCACCGCGCACAGCGCGCCGCTCGTCACGGTCCTTGCGATTCACTGCAAGGCGCACAAAGCGGGTGAGCCTGGGAGGGGGCCAGCGGGTGGCTTGCACCATCAAAAACGCCCCACAATACCCCAAGAGCTCAGCAGGCCACAGTAGGCATTAACGAGCGCACCCAGCTTGATGAGGCGGCCATTGAGCGCCTTCATCTCCTTGCGGCAGTCCTTGGCCAGTGCCGAGTTGTCTGATTGGAGCACCTTAGCCTCCAGGCTGTTCTCCAGAACCTGCAGTGGGTGGGTAAGAAGATGTTCAGGATGCTGGTTTGTGATGCATGATGCACAGGGCAATGGCCAGGTAGCTGCAGGGCACGTGCATGGAGAGATGCGTGAGGTATGGGCTGCACATCGGCTGCTGGCCGCTCGCACTGGTGCCAGCACACATACAGCAACCAGCACAACCGCGCTGTCCTTACCTGCGGCAGCAGGCGCGCGGGGTGGCCCACCCGCACCACCGCCAGCTTGGAGCTCTGCCTTGCCAGCCGCTCTACCAAGTTGTCCACTGCCACGTTGGAGGCGGCGCAGGCCAGCACTCGGCTGCGGGGGACAAACGCAAAGCAGCCAGCCCAGTGGGCACGGCATGGCGCAGTGGCTGAGGGGCTAGATGACGGCGCCACGGATGGCAAGGAACTAAGCTGGGGAGAGGGCACAGAAGCCAGCCCAGCAACAAGCGCACACGGCCCCGCACTGACTTGCCGCGCGCCACCTCCTGGCACATCAGCTCCACCACCGCCGTGGTCTTACCGGTGCCGGGTGGGCCTGCACGTAGCAATGGCGCACACAGCAGCACATCACAACGCCCACTGGCATCCAGCCCTGGCCATGCTCGGCATGCCAGCAGCAAGCGGCGGAGCTGCCGACGCCAGCGGCTGGCAGGCAGGGTCCCTGGCTGGCTCCCACGGCAGCCCCTCACCCACGCAGCCACGTGCCTGGCTGGCATGCCACACCACAGGCACACCCGCCACCCACCGTGTATCAAGGCGACATCCTGGGCCGCCATCGCCAACGTGACGGCGCTCCGCTGCGAGGCATCCAGGCCGGTGTTGAGGGGCTGCCAGGCGGGCTGCGTGCTGGCAAAGCGCGGCGCCCGCCGGCCAAACATTACGTCCACCAGAGGGGCCGCCACGCCGCCTCGCTGCACCTCCCCGCCCAGGCTCTGCAGGGCAAGCGGGGGTGGTGGCGATGGGCATGTGAAAGGGCGGGAAGCCAGGGGCCTCGGCTCGGCGGGCATCCCAGCGACGCAGGTATTGAGGCCTCCACTGCACTCCATGCATTGCACTCCAGCCTCTCCCAGGCGGGCTAGCAGCAGTGGAGCCACCACCCCCTCACCGTCAGCGCCGCCCTCAGCCGCCTGTAGGTCACCTCGTTGGCCATCTTCTCCACCCGCAGAGGCACATCCAGCCCCTCCTCTGGCACCTCGTCCACTGCAGGGGCCGGGCAGGGAAGATGTGAGTGGGTGGGGTGGGGTGGGGTGGGGAGGGGAGAAGGCACTCAGGCCGCTTTCAGACGGCAGCAGGCGGCGGTGGCGGCCACCCGCCAGGGCTGCACACGCCGCCCAGCTGGCAACTCTTCTGCCCAGCACACAGCGCGGCCAGCTGGCCGGCAGCATGCCCGGCTGGCAGCGGTGGGCTCCCCAGCAGGAACATCCCGCACCAGCCTTGCCTGCCAGTGTGATGGCGGCATCTCGCACTCGGTACACCACACCCTCTGCCAGCGGCGGCCCCGAGCCGTCCCCCTTGCTGGGCCGCAGCCGCACGATGTCGTGGGGAGACAGCTTGTGTGGAGGCAGCGGCGCGGAGCCGCCGCCCTGCACCAGGCGGCCAGGAGGCAGCGGGCGGCATGGTGAGAGGGAGCAGGCGGTCGCTCGAGGGGGAGTGACAGGTGCGCTGTGTGCCATTGCTTGCCTTATTGTTGACGAGGGTGAGTAGGGTGCGGCCCAGCAGGCCGCCCTCTGCATCCGTCAGCCGCAGGTTGAGCAGCGCACGACCCTTCGCGGCGGCGCTCTCAGGGCTGCCTGCGGCCAGGGCCTCCTCTGCCTGCAAGGGGGGGGGGGTAGCAGGCCGGCTCGCAGCGTGGCTGCCTGAGGCCGAGGCTGGAGCCGCAGGCATCAGGCCGGCAGGCAGGCAGGCGCTGACAGTCGGGCAATGCAGCAAATGGTCGCAGGCAGGCGGGCCCTCGCAACCGAAGCCAGCAGCTGGCGGGGACCCAGCCTCCCGCCCAGCCTCCCGCCCTGCTTGCCTGCGCCACCTCCGCCTCCCGCTCCATCTCCAGCAGGGGCAGCAGCTGTGCCACAAACTCCTCCACAGTCACCAGCCCCCTGGCGCCAGGCTGTGCGGCAGCAGAGGGGCCGCCGTGCCGCCAGCCCGCCGCACCCGCGCCAGGCGGCTGCTGCCGGCCGGTGCCGGCGCCGCCGGTGCCGCTGCCAGCAAAGGCGGCTGCCGCATCTAGGTTCAGGTGCTGCTGGATCAGAGCAACCAGCTGCTCATCAGATAAGGGAGGCTGGCCGCTGCCTCCGCTGCCGCTGCCGTTTGGGGATGAACCCGCATCCTCGCTGCTGTCTGCTCCTCTGGCTCCCCCAGCCTCTGCCGCCACCGCTGCGTGCACCAGCCCCAGCTCGACAATGTGCGCATCCGGCGGCCCAAGCGCCACCCGCCGCTCGCTGCCCTCTCCCTGGCTGCCATGCGGCAGGCCGTACTGTTCGCCCACGGCGTGCACCGCTGCGCGCTGCCGTGCCGTGAGGCTGGCGGGGAAGAGCAGCTACGGGGGGTGGGACAAGGCAGGTTAGGCAGGTAGGCAGCACTGCTGTTTTCATGTATTGCCTACTTCGGTGCCGCCTGACAGAAATTATGGCACACAGGCAGTCCTGCAGGGCAGGCTTGCCTGCACATCAAGGCGGGCCGCCTGATCCGCAGGCGGGCCGGCGGCGCTGGCGGCAGCGGCGGGCGGTGGAGCTGCCGCTGCTGCTGGCTTGCCCTTCCCTGAGGTCCCTTTATAGATGCTGCTTTCTTTGCCTTGGCAGCGCTGGGCATGGTCAATAAGGGCAAGTTTACGAGGTGATCGTTCACACATGTGAGCTGTGTGCAGCTCGGCGCTCTTGTAAAGTGCCGGTTGTGATATCGAGATCCAATTGAGACATTGAGTGCAGAAGGCCGCACCAAGACGGCCTGTGGCGACGGCAGCACGCCCAGCATGTACAACAAGGAGGGTTGGATTTCGCGTGGTAGGGATTGCGGTGCATTGCTACCAGGCTGACAGACATCTGAGGGACCTTGCAATTTGCCCGGTTGCTTGTAGCTGCGCCTGGCCATGCAGTTTTCCACAGCAGCAGCGGCATGGCCCGCGCAGCCATTGTCCCGGTACCGTGCACCTCGAAGGAGCTGTGTCGCGGCGGCGGCATCGCCCGACAGGCAGCAGGCCGCGGCCTGGTGGCGCCCGCCGTCGCTGCCGACCACCGCTACCGTGGGCTGCCTAGCGGCCCTGCTGCTGTCTGCCCCACTGCCCGTGGCAGCCAAGGATGTGATCCAGGGGTTCCCCCGGGTGGTGGATGGCGACACCCTGGACTTTAGCGGCACCCGCGTGCGCCTGTTTGGCATAGGTGCGTCAAGCTAGCAGTGCACCACGGCATGTAGAGTCGGCACCTGTGTGGCCATCACCTGGGCTGTGTACTGCACGCCGCATCAAGCTTGGCAGCCTGTGTCCCCGCAGACGCCCCCGAGACCAAGCAGAGCTGCAAGGCAGCCAAGGGTGCTGAGTACTTGTGCGGCGAGCGGTCCAAGCAGGAGCTGCTCGCTAAGATCGGCAAGGCCTCGGTGCAGTGCGAGCAGGCAAGCACCCTGCCGCGCTGCGCCACCCCACGCTGCTGTCCCTTGCCCGCATCCCACCCTGCGCACATTCCCGCCTCACCCGCCTCGCCGCGCTGCTCCCACGCCCCCCGCAGAAGAACCGGGACAAGTATGGGCGGGTGGTGGGGATCTGCTCGCTGGCAAAGGCCGGCAGCGAGCGGGAGGATCTGAATGCCTGGATGGTGCAGCAGGGGCTGGCGGTGGCCTACAGGTGCGCCGCCATTCTGCTTGGCTGTGCTGTCTTGCATGCGGCCGCGGCCTGACGCCGGCGCTGTCAGCTGTCGGCGGGTACTGCCGGATGGGTGGTGAGCCATGCCCGTGTGCTGGCGGTGGTGCTGCTGCTGGTGCAGGCAGTACAGCAAGGCGTATGTGCCGCTGGAGGAGCAGGCGCGCGCGGCGGGCAAGGGCATATGGTCGGGCAGCTTCGAGCTGCCGCAGCAGTGGCGGGTGGACAACCCGCGCGGCAAGAAGGCGCCGGCGCCGGCGCCGGCCGCCGCCGCCGCTGTCGTCGCGGCCGCGCCCCAGGCTGCCGCCGCGGTGCCCGTTGCGGCAGGGGGCTGCGCCATCAAGGGCAACATCACGGCCAAGGGAGAGAAGATCTACCACGTGCCAGGCGGCGCTTTCTACCAGCGCACCATGATCGAGGAGGGCAAGGGCGAGCGCTTCTTCTGCACGCCGGCAGAGGCGGAGGCCGCGGGCTGGCGCCCCTCCCGCTCCTAGCCCACCCCAGCCTCTCCGCCAGTGAATCCTGGTATATACTTTTGTGCGGCACTGAGAATGCATCCGCATAAGTGTTGGGAGAGGAGCGCGGTCAGTGTGTAAAGTTCGGGAGACGTTAGTGTGAGGCGATAGCAGCATCCTATTGGATCATTGCGGAACAGGAGCAAAAGGAGCAGCACGCGATGGGGGGCCTGCCAGCGGCCCCGGGCTAGCCACAGGGCGGCACGCTGCCGTGTCCTGAGCATGCAAAACAATAGGCACGCTGCCCGGCGCTGCTCACACCACCGCCAGCGGGTCGAAGTCCTCCTCCTTGATGGGGCTGAGGTCCAGGTGGAAGTCCTCCTTGCCCCTGCTGGCACCCGCAATGGCCAGCAGCTCCACCAGCAGCCGCCGCAGGTGCCTGCACCGCCAGCGCCGCGGCGGCACGGTACCGCATGTCACAGGCAGGCACCTGTGAGCTTGGGGGCTCGGAGGGCGGGTGGCAAGAGGCGGCTGGGGGGGCCGGCAGCGGAGGCCGCAAGGGGGAGGGGCCCACCTGAGGGGCCACTGCGTGGGGCCGTCCACAGGGGAGGTGGTGGGGTCGTCGTGAACCTCCATGAACAGCCCATCCACGCCGCACGCCACGGCTGCGGGGGCAAGGGTGCGGGTGGGGTGGGTTGGGGGCAGGCGGGGCGAGGAGCAGGCAGGAGGGTGCTGTTCCACAAAGCCAAGCTGCCCTTGCAGCCATGGCCATAAGTGCCACGCACACAACACACACACAGGCCAGCCCCCCCACCTGTGCGCGCAATGGCGGGAATCATGTCGCGCATGCCGCCGCTGGCCACGCCGCCGCCCTCCAGCGGCCGCCCCGCAGGCTGCACACACAGGCACACGCACGAGCTCACAGGCTCGGCGTCTGCACCGGCAGCTGGGCTGCCGTCGGCGACCCGCTGGGGCCCTCCCTCCACTCCCCCTTGCCCTCACTCCCGAACCCCGCCATCGTTGCCCTCCAACACACGCACACGCGCACGCGCCGGTGTGCAGCACCGCCGCCTGCGGTGCCCCGCCCCCACCCACCCACCTGCTGCAGCGCGTGCGTGACGTCTGCGGTGACGGGGCAGCCCGCGTCGCGCATGGCCACAAAGTTGCGTGGGTCCACCACCAGGTCGCTGA